CACTGTGGCCTGGCAGCCCCTGCCCCCGCCCCCGCCCCACACCCTCCCTCCACAACAAATTTACCAGCTGAATTTGGCTGCTCCATGTGGCTGGGCTGCACTTCTGGCTGCCGGCATGCTGTGCTGTGGCTGCATGCATGTACACGGAGTTCTACATACCTCTTACGATCCTTTTAAGTACCCCTAGGGCAGGGGCAGGCAATTATTTCGGGCCGCTTACTGTGTTTTGGCAAGCCATTGAAGGCCACAAGACAGGCAGCCAGGGGCAGATTAATATTAATAATTTCTAAATTTTTTAGGGGCCCCACAGGCCAGATAGAATGTCCTGGTGGGCCACATCCAGCCTGCGGGCTGTATTTTGCCCACCCTTGCCCTAGGGGCACACCTACCCCTAGTTGACAACCACTGCCCTATTCAATACAGTCTCTGGCATCCACTATTTATTGGGTTAGAGATGCCAGAGGCATGGGTGACTGGTGCCTCCTGAGTCGGGGGGGGCACTTGCCCCTCCAGCGGCCAGTCAGCAACCATGGGGGGGGTCACATGCAGCCAATTGCACCGACTGAGGAGGGTCCCCCCACGGCTGATTGTGCCGACCCGGAAGCACCAGCAGTGTGCCCAGAAGTGCTAGCAGCACTTCTCCTGGCACCCCCACTCCCTAGCCGGCGTTCTTAGTGGGGGCATCAGCACTCCCACCTGTCCCCCTGCCCATTGCCTAGCTGGGGAATGCTGGCTCTCAGGGGGTGCACCCCCTACGCATCCACTGGCCAGAGGAAACCTCGCCAGCCATTCTGTTCAATAGCCATTGATAGTTCTATTTTCCATGAATTTGTCCCTTTTTGAAACTGGCTATGCTATATGCCTCCACCATCTCCTATGGCAATATATTCGACAAGTTAACTACACGTTGCAAAAAATTTATTTTTTCTTGTTAGTTTTAATCCTTTCATCTCCTAATTTCAGCAGGTGCCCCCCAGGTCCCATATTTTGGAACTTGGTGAATAACAGTTCCCTGTTCACATGGTCCACACCTTTCAAGATATTATAGACTATCATATCCTCCCTCAGCCTTCTCTTTTCCAAACCAAAGTGTCCTAGTCTTTTCAATCTCTCCTGGTATGTCAGCTGCTTCAGTCACTCCTCACAAAGAGAATGACCTTTATTTGGGATTAATTTCAGGAGACACACAGCATATGGTGTTAGCAATAGGATCTTTTGTGTTTCTCACTAAAGTTGCATGTAAGCTGATTTTAAGATTGACACTTTGAAACAAGCCTTGCATCATTCAAAATAGGTGAGGAGCAAGAAAGGTCAGAGGAGGGCATAATGAGGGGAAAATCAACCTTCACGAAAATAAATGACTGACAGATGCAATATTAATCTATTCTGAGAATGCATTTAACTGTTAAATCTTTAGAATAATCTGTCTTCGCCATCATTTTTGGAAGTTTACTTGGTTTATTTAAAAAAACTTTACAGGCTTTCTGTAACTTCTTGCAGAAGTGTGTGTTAACTTTGCCCCATAATTTGGTATCTGTGAATTTGGACAGAGTGCTTTCCATGCCCTCATCCAAGTCACCGATGAAGACATTGAACAGCACCGGTCCAAGGACCAAGCTTTGTGGGACTCCAGTGCCCACGTCTTTCCAGGCTGATACCGAGCCATCCACCACCACTCTCTGAGTGCGACCCCTAAGCCAATTTGCCACCCACCTGACCGTGTAATCATTTACATCACAGTCACTCAGTTTATCTATAAGAATATAATGAAATACCATATCAAAGGCCGCCTTAAAATCCAAGTAGATGACATCCACCTTGATTCGTGACATCCACCTTGATTTTGTGACCTAGTCATGTCTCTAGTGGGTTATGGAATAGAGAAAATCCCACACAATTTACTGATTCGTTTTGATGCACTGGCTGGGGGAGTAGTTAGCTGATTGCACGATTTCACAATGATTACACACTTAATTTATACAACACAATTTTATTTTAAAACTCTTTGCTATGTATATAACACTGCTTAGCTTTAAGAAACACCACAAACATTAAAAACACAATAATTACATATATCAGAAACAATGCTCCGAATGCACTTCCTTCCCAAACAATGCTATAAGAATTAGTGTTACAAAAACAACTACAATTACAACTAAAAGTTAAATTTGAATCAATACTATTATTTTTCATAATATACTTGCAATCCTAGAATTCTGAGAAGCCAAATACCAAAATATGGTTTCATTCCTCAGTAGTACAATTTAATGGGTTGGCCTCAGTAGTACGGTTCAATGGGCTCGCCTCAGCAAACTTGCAATTCTTCCTTCGTTGTTCTGCAAGTGAAGTCACCTCCAAATTGGGACAGTAAGTTACAGGTTTTTATTGAGTGAGCTGCCGTCATTGGGCTCCTCCTACTCAATTTATCATACCTCCCAAATTTGGGCTCGGATCTTACTCAACAGAAATTACCTTTGTTGAGCATTTTTAAATTATTCTTGGGGCGACTTCCATATCACTGTAAATACTCTTTCTTAGCAATTTGGTTAAAAGGCCTTAGGCTTTGATGTCTCGGAATTCAGGATATTTGCTTTCTTTGTAAAAAACTTCTAAAGATACAATTTAAATTAAGACTTTAAGTGAAGTCAGGACATTTCGCACGTAGCTCCGAAACAATGAGCTAGATAAGGAGATAAATCCTATCTTCTTCCTGAAACTGGCTAATGGGCAACCTTTACAAACATTCAAACTATTTCATTCAATATGACAAGTCATAAAAAGAAACAAGTTTAGTCAGGTAAGATCTACCTGCTATGAATCCATGCTGGTTGCCCTTTAGCATTTCTTTCCCCCCTGGACTCCCACAAATATAATCCTTAATCATTTTTTTC